CAACCCTCCTCCCTCCCCGCCCCGCCCCGCCCACTGTAAAAATAACTTGGGTCAAACAAATGACGCCAGTGAGGGGCAGCGGCGTAGGCAAAAGTTTGGACTCGGAGGCTCAACTCTCAACGACGGTGTTGGACGCGGTGACGGTCCGCTTGCGTCATCAGCTGCCACGGCTGCTACCTGCCCGGGCCGAGATAAGCGTCGGACACGTCCCCGTCGTCGTCAGCCGTCTGGTGGCCAGTCGGTTTTGTCTTTTACGATCTCACCGATGTCGTCCCGGTATTATCCGGTATCGATATAAGCTGACCCTTAAAGTGGAGCGGAAGTGATTATTATTATTACAAGTTAAAAGTAACCCGAGTTGTTAAGACCTGCCGCGATAGATTCGTCTTCCTCTTGGCCCCGGCTCGGCATCGCTTTGCAACTCTCTGCTCCCGGCGGCCCCACCCAACCAACGGGCCGGCGCCCGCTTTTCCTTGAGGCGTGACAAATAACTTGCGGGGTAAAGGTGGGAGGGGGGGGGCAGGGGGGGCTGTGGCCAGACTAGCCAAGAGTAGCCAGGGGCCTCATGCGGGTTGGGTAGGTTGCGAGGTGGCCGACGACGGTCTAGACTCGAGGAACTCGCCCCGCCAGCCCCGCCCGCCCTCCGGCACACTGGACAGAGAGGGATCCGGGACAAAGTCCGCCCGTCCTTTGTCTTTAGCCGTTGTAAACCAGCCGAGTTCAGTATCTGCTGGCTTCCTCTGCAAGCTCTCAGAGCGCCTGATAGATAGGCAACACCGTGTCTGCAGTGCACGCGTGTGCCGCGGGGTGGCCTATCCCCAGTCTCACAGGCGCCAAGCTGCCATAATTTGCCAAATGAAATGGGAGTACTTTCTGGACAATTCCGGGGGGGGGGGGGAGGGCAAAGGACCCCGAGCTTTTCCTCTGTAGTCAACCGGCAGGTAGTCGTCCAAATCGTCTCGAGTAAACGGTTTGTTTTTGCGTATGTCTTTTATTGGTCGAAGCGGCCAAAAATAAAGTGGGGCTGGGGCCCTGGTTGATTTTCGATTTGGGAGCGCGCAAGGTATTGTGTCCTGAAAGAGCCGTCAGCCGTCAGCCCCTTTTCTAAAATGAAAATCAATCACCAAGCAGCGGGTACAACACAAAGTTTCTGTACTTGTGAGGTACAATACGCGGATGGGCCGAGTGGCCGCCGGGCCGGGGGGGGGTGGAGTGGGGGTGGGGGACCATTGCCCGAGAGTATTATTAGCGACTATAATTCTCCAAGTCGAGGCGGGCTGCCGATTTCACTGCTTCCCGCAGCCGTAGCGCCGCGTCGCCACTGTTCACCCACCCCCACCCCCTCCAACACACACACGCACGCGCGCGCGTCCACACACACACTCACACACACACACACACACACCTCGCCGAATTTGGCTCACACCTTGTGGTTATTTATTTCCATGAGAGTGAGAAGGACGGCATTTTCGGAGAGACCCTCTCTGCTGCTCTTTACTCTGTGGTGAGTTTTGACGGCGCGCACTACACGCAAAATCATGAAAAAACAAAAATAATAATTAATAAGGGAGCCAAGCCGCGTAGCGAGGGAAATAGGGTGGGCATTAATCGGCGTGGTGGAGCCGGTGGCGCGTGGTCAACTGCGGGCATGGCCTGGGCGCCTCGCTCGTACTTGTCTCGTCATTAGCGCTACTTAACACGTCGCTTGTGGCATGACCACTATGTGGTCACGCTCCCCATGTAAAATCATAGGCACCAAAAATGAGCAGCACGGAATGTGTTAATTCCTGAAGTCAGGG